TTGCAATGTCGATCCTTCTTTCCACCAGGGGTCTGCGATCTTCTCAGAGTAGCCGATCTACCATTCTTGCCCTTGCCACCTTTGTCCTTCCTCCTATCCCAATGGTATTGGGAATGACTGTATTGGCATTTGTCACCATGTTTGCAGTTGCCTTTGTTGAAGTGGAAGTGACAAAAGGTCTTCGATGGGTCTCTGGTAGAAGGCGATCTTGATCTCTTGCCACCCTTGCCTTTCCCCTTGCCATGGCTCTTGGGATCGCCGGAAGGTAGTACGGGAGCTCCAGGCTTACCTTTGGGTGCTGGGGCACTTGGCTTTCCGGTCTTGCCATCTTTCGGTGTAGGTGTTGGAGCCGTTGGCTTTGGTGCTGGGGTAGAAGGCTTACCAAGATTGGTGTAGTCCGTGGCAAACTTGTCCCTGGCTGCAATGTTCCGATCCTCACGTGCACGTGCTATGTGCCTCTTCATGATCTCCAGTAGTTCATTGTAGGATTTCTTCTTGTCATCATTGTCTCTCCCTTTGAAGATCGTGAGGTCGACATGCAATGCTTGGGAACTATCGATCTTCCTCAGTAAATGATCACGTAGTGTTTTGTCAGATGGGATATCCTCAGCTTTCATGTTTGCGATGATCTCAATCCAAGCATGGAGGAATTTGTCCATCTCTTTGTCACCACGATACTGCAATTTGTAGATGTGGCTGGCATTGAATAAGACTTCATCTTTCGATGTTGTTCTGAAATGATCTAGCACCATTGCTAATATTTCTCTGCCCATTAGGAAATTCCCTTCTTTTCCCAGTACTTGACTCCTCTGTCTGATCCGAACCTTGACCTCCGACGCAGTCTCACCAGCGGCGTCCACCATGTTCTGCAAGGCGATGGACAGCTTGGAGTCAATGGACTGGAAGCGGAATTCACCTGAGTCAGCGAGTTCAGCATAGTCGGGATTGGGCAGCAGAGCAGGAGACAGCCATCTTCTCCATGCGGCCGTGTCAGGATCACCTGAAGCAACACATACTGCCTGCACGACGTTTGAACGCCATACATCAAGATCTTGACATTTAGGCCATGGTTTGACGATAACCTTCTCGTGCTCCTTTCTGGATATTCTAGTTACCCAGTCTTTACCATCTTGACCGACATCACTGTTTGCAACACTAGCATCTTTGCCATCTTTCCGCTCCCAAAGTCCAGGAGGATTGTCGGGAACGGGGTCGAACTCAGGGGCTTTACTACCTTTCATAGATTCTTGCCCTTCTTCGACCTGTTCCAGCCAACTCTGGTACTCTTTCATCTCATCATAGTTTTGTTGAGCTTGTTCTTCAGATCGACGAAGCCTTTCACGAAGATCGTCAATCTCACTGTTGGCTTTGTTGCCGATGGCACTATTCACACCAGGTGAAGATGGTAGTGGTAGAGCAGGATCATGAATCTTCGTTGTAGAGGATGCCTTGGGCGTACCCATAGGTGTTGAAATCGATATCGCAAATGATGGAGTCTTGCCAGTGGGCGTAGTCGTTCTTGGAGCTAGGCTTGTCGGAGGCACGGCTGATGGTGATGCCGGTACCGCAGCCTTAGTTGCCGCTCTGCTCCATGACGCTGGCATCGAACTCATGGTCCACTTTGCGTCGTGGAGCGACTGCTTCAGTGAGTCGTTCTTCCTGATCACATGGTCACGTTCAGAGCAGGCTAATCGGTATAGCTTCTTGTATCTGTCCGCCTCTGCTTCTTCAGCGTTGACGAATGCCTCAGTCAGTTTCGGATTGCTTTCAATTGCTTCTTGAAGTCGGTTGATCTCCATGTTGGCCTTGTGAAGCTCTTCACGTAGTTCTTCGTTCACCTTGGCATTAGCTTCATCGTTGCCGGCGTGAAACCGAGATCCAAGAAGTTCAGCAACCCGTGTCCTCAACTGGTTGTTGGACTCGATCAATGCCATGTTCTCATCCATGAGTTCGTCCTTGACGTGCTCAATGGTGACTTCCCTGTCCTTGAACGCACTTAGTTCATCATGTTTGAACTGGCGGAACTCATTCTTCTCATCATTGAATCGATTTGTATACCATTCTCTAGTAGCACTCTCGTTCTCGTTCATTCTCATGAGGCTTCTGATCTCCACCTCGAGCTCATTGTGCTTCCGGTTGTACTCTTCCTCCCTTTCCTGAATCATGTTCTTCATATCACGAATCTTCGTGAAGTGATCACGATTCGCACTGTCCCTGATGGCAATGAGGTTGTCCCTACTCGATAAACTGGTAGTCAGCTCATCGATGGTCGACCGCACCTCTGCCATCTGTTCATCACGTACTGCAACAGCTTGTTGGCCATATTCCATGATCATCTCATTGCTGTCAGCCATCATCTGTGAACTCTCTGATAGCTTCAATTTCAACTGTTCCATTTCTTCCTTGTTCGCATTCTCCCTATCTTGAACATAATGTGCACATGCTTAACGCAGTTGTAGCCCATCTTGACGAAAATGAACTGTCATAGCTTCAGATATCTCTTGTTGTTGACGGATGAGTTGTGATGCATTCTCTAGTTCAGTGAGATACTTTCCCCTCATCTCCATGCTCTCCCGAACAATGTGGGCCGCACCTGATTCTGCAAGTTGGCCACGCTTCTCCAGCTCGACGATCCTCATAGTTGAACCTTCGTCCAGGAGATGTGCCTCAGCCAGTGCGGTCGATTGTTCATCAAGTATGTTGTACGCATTGATGAGGGAACCTCTTATGAATTCCATCTCAGAATTGACATGTTCCTGATATTCTTCATGATGTTGTTGTGAATATACCTCTATGTTGCTAATCACCTGATCACGACGTGCAAGAACATCTTGATAAAGAATCAATCTATTTTCCAGTTCAGTCCTTGCCCGTTCACTCCTCTCCAGCTTCTCATTGTTGTGTTGTAGTTGACGTCGAAGACGTGCCTCGCTCTCATTCCTCGTAGCACTGGTCGATGGCTTGCGTTTGGATGAGGTGGCAGCCTTGCCTGCCTCATCCTCCCGCGTGGCCGTGCCCGACGGGCTCCGGCCACTGTTGCCACCTTCCACTGCATGGGATCTGAGAGCGCGATGGGATCTTGCTGATGTCGATCCTCGAACTACATCAGCTTGATTGACCACTGTGAAGCTGGTTGTTGATGCTATACTTCCAGACGCACGGTACGAGACCGTGCCACCGCCGCCGCTCTCTTGGGATCCAGGCGTGTCGTTGATCGCCTGAGCCGGAGCAGCATTCGCTCCGAAGGTGTAGTTCGTGTCATTGCTGCTCGACTGGTTCTTCTGCGACATCTTCTTGAAGTCAGTCCACCTCCGTTTACCTCAAGCTTATGACTTGTAGTAGGGCAGGAGGACCAGGATGCCGAAGGCGCAGAAGATAAAGTGGGACCACCGTACGCTCAGCGTGAGCGTACGGCTGATAACTTGTGAATGGGTTCAACCTCAGTGTGATTCCGTGTAAAGGGTAGTCTCAACGATCGTATTGTTCGTAATGTCCCCTGTCCCAGAAGCACAGTCAGCAGCGTTTTCCCATTGGTCGGAGCGAGTAGCGGTTCCTAAGCCACCGGATGGTGACTTGAGCCAATGCATTGGCGAAAGGCTTAATTGGTCACTGCACGGCTCTGCACTATTGTCTATGCTACTTTCACACATATATATATATAGATATATAAATTTCGTCTGGATGCCTTGACACGCCGTGTGAGGAGATAGCCGGAGAGTATGTCGAAATTACTTATGCTGTCTTCGACAGATCATGGGAATAGAACCTGATTATATCGCACACAGATCCGGCTGCTTTGACACACCGTGCGAGGAGGTCGCTGGATCGTAGGTTGCAATTCACTTTTTGGCCCACTTGCACAGTACATGCCTGTACAGAAAAGAGGCAATGGCTGGCACGCTTGCTGCAGGAAGGGCAGCAAGACGTTCTATGGACCTATCCGCGAAACCGAGGTGGCTGCAAACTAAGATACACAGCAATTTGATGAGGCGGCAGCGGTTTCCATTGAACGTTTGAAAGACGTGCATGGCCGGCTTACTTGTGTGTTGCCTGTTGCTTCCTCTGCAAATCATTTTTGCCCACTTGAGCAGAGCATGCCCGTACAGAAAATAGGCAATGGCTGGCACATTTGCTGTGATGACCAGACTTCAACTTCCATCTTCATGCATTGAGATGACATCAAAAGGAAACAAAGTTCTGCATTGTTCATTGACAGCGAGTTTAATGCAACAGTTCCGTAGAAGTGGTCGCCTTTCTTGTTGTTACTTTCGCGGGGGCCTTGCGGCTGTTGCATCTCTTGTTTCTTTCTGTGGTGGGAAAGGACATCAATCAGAAACAAACCACGAAGTAACAAATCATGCATCCGTTCTTTTTTTCTGTGATGACCAGACTTCAACTTCTACTGTGTGGCCGATTTCTGTTGTCACCTGATGTTGCTTATCCTTTTGGCCGGGGCCTTTCAACTGTTGCGCCTGTTGTGATGATACAAAAGTTTTTGGTGACAAGGGTGCGCCGTTACGTTTTGATGCATTGACGCGCCGTGCGGAGATGACATCAACACGCCACAAATTACATCCATGGAATTCACTGTCATTGCTGGCCTGGGGGGCAGGTATGTGACAAACATCGGCGAAATCTTGTTGAGATGTTGAGGTGGCCAGCATTGCTTTGCGCCTGCATGTGTCTGTCGGGTGGCTGCTTGATCTTTTTTTCTTTGTTTTTTTGGCCTGAACAGTGTTGGGCCCAGCGCTGAATTTCGAAACGCCTGCGTCGTGTCTTGCCTTGGAGCATGGCTGCTGGTGGCTTTGTGCGCACACCGCGGCCGATGGAGTGTTTCATGGAAAGAGAAATACGAAGATTGTTTATCCAAAAATGTGAAGCAGTTGCAGAATCGAACTTATTGCTGCATCCAACCTTCTCTTCGGAACGTGCCATGTGCTTGAGAAGTCACATGTTTGCTTTGCGGTCAATGATTGCAACGCCAGCATGTGGCTTCTGCCATGAAGGCTGTGAGAAGTGTGTTGCAGACGTTGGCGCAGCTCGTGACAGAGAAGCCCGCTTCAGGGTATAGTCGTGTTTGCCGAGATTCGCAATTGCTTGCAACTGGAGGAACCGCAATTTGTGGTTGCTCCAGTTGCAAGCAATTGCGCATGACAAAAGCGTGCTCGACAGCGTGCGAGAAATGCGGCTCATGTTTCATGTGCCGCATTTCTCGCAAGCTGTCGAGCACGTTTGTGTGTTGTGCAACAGGTGCGACAGCTGAATGTAGTGGCAGCCATTTCTCATGATGTGCTGTTTCTGTGCCCTTCTCACCGGCTTGGTCCTGGTTTGATCTCAGTGGGTGAAGTGGAATCTAGCTTTGTCAGATGCTTGGTGGCCTTCAATGGTGTGCAGCTCGCCGACGACGAAGCTCTGCAGCAAGACCTCACATCATCCTCGGCCATGCGTGCCATGCGCTCTGTCGATTGCCTATATTGTCTGCTACCACCACTGCAGGTGAGCCGAGGCGGGCCAAGCTGCGGAGTGCTGGCCTGCATCGGCGGTGGCTTGGATGCTACCGGAGAGGTGCATTTCGTGGTCCTTTCCCACACTTCAGATGCTGGCGAATGGAGCGTGCTGTGGCACGTACCTGTGGAAGCGCATCGTGCGGAAGGAGTCAAGACCATTCTGCTCCAGATTTATCAGTTCAATGCCCCACAAACTTTGACCTCCGATCAGACATGGACTCCCATGAAACGACTTGCGAGCGTCATGGAGCAAGCGCCGGAAGAAACGCCAGTTGCTGAAGATGCCGCGTGAGCAGCTGTCTATGTTTAGGCACGCGAATAGATTGACGTGCCGTGCGAAAATCTACCGTCGTGGCTACCGGCCTTGTGGCGAGCATTGATTGCGACGCCGTGCGAAGATCCATCTGCTGAACATGGCCATGCGGTGTAAAGTGTGCTGCGCCTCTCTGAATAGAATTTTGATCACGCGCAGCTGCGATGAGAAAAACAAAGAAACCCTGGATGGCACTGCTGCTTGAGTCTGGCAACGCAAAAATTTGTCGCCAGCATGTGGTGTGACGTCCGTGCATCATGCAGCACTGACGGAGCTCACGTCCCTTCTCTATGCTCTTTGCCTCACCGGTTGTCACTGCCTAGTTGATGCTTCTGTTTGTCTCCTCCCGTGTCTCATCAAGACATGTCGCTGCCAGGTACTTCTCCGTCTTCATCGTGCACGTGCCGCAGTTGCGCAACGCCGTCTTCAACACACGCGTGAGCACACACACACACACAGCCACACACACAAACAGACAAACAAACCCACACACACACACAAACATGCACACATACACCCACACACACATATGCAAACATGCATACATGCATGCATGCATGCATGCACGCATGCATACATATACAGGTAGTACCGCACAAGGCGGTGGCGGAAGTTTCAAAAATAGGAAACCTATAGGAGAGGTTGGTTGTTGTGAATCACGGTTGGCAGAGCGAATCCACTGATGGACCGAAAGGTGGTTGGAGTTGTGTTTTTTGGAGTGGTTACAATGGTTGCACTGGTCGCCTCGCCGCAACTGCTGGATGTAGTGTGATGTAGCGCAGTTGTAGTTGTAGTTGTAAGTTGTAGTTCCAATGTGATGTAATTCGTGTAGTGCAGTTGCAGCTGAATTTGCAGTTGTAGTTGTGGTGTGGTGTAATTAGTGTAGTATATTGTAGTGTATGGTAGTGTACTGTAGTGTTGTGTGCTGTAGTGTGGTAAAGTGTAGTGTAGTGTAGTGTAAAGTAGTGTAGTTGTAGTTGTAGTGTATTGTAATTAGTGTAGTGTAGCGTAGTGCAGTGTAGTGGTAGTTGTAGTTGCAGTTGCAGATGTAGTGTAATGCAATGTAATTAGTGTAGTGTAGTGTTGTGTAGTGTCGTGTAATGTAGTGTAGTAGTTTTAGTTGCATGTATATTTGTAGTTGTAGTGTGCTGCAGAGTAATGACTGTAGTGCAGTGTAATGTAGCGTAGTTGTAATTGTAATTGTAGATTTGGTGGTGGTGGTGGTAGTAGTAGTAGTAGTAGTAGTAGAGTAGTAGTAGAGTAGTAGTAGAGTAGTAGTAGAGTAGTAGTAGAGTAGTAGTAGAGTAGTAGTAGAGTAGTAGTAGAGTAGTAGTAGAGTAGTAGTAGAGTAGTAGTAGAGTAGTAGTAGAGTAGTAGTAGAGTAGTAGTAGTAGTAGTAGAGTAGTAGTAGAGTAGTAGTAGAGTAGTAGTAGAGTAGTAGTAGAGAAGTAGTAGAGTAGTAGTAGAGTAGTAGTAGAGTAGTAGTAGAGTAGTAGTAGAGTAGTAGTAGTAGTAGTAGTAGTAGTAGTAGTAGTAGTAGTAGTAGTAGTAGTAGTAGTAGTAGTAGTAGTAGTAGTAGTAGTAGAGTAGTAGAGTAGTAGTAGAGGTAGGAGTAGTAGTAGTAATAATAGTAGTAGAGGTAGAAGTAGAAGTAGTAGTAGTAGTAGTAGTAGTAGTAGAAGTAGTAGAAGTAGTAGTAGTAGTAGTAGTAGTAGTAGCAGTCGTAGTCGTAGCAATTGTAGTTGTCGTTGTCTATCTACTTAATCTATCTATCTATTTATCTGTCTATCTGCAAGCTTGAAAACGCAGCTATTTCGCGAGACACCCTCAGTTTTTGAACTTGACAACGTCAAAAACGAAACACGTCTGCGAGATTTCCTCAATTTTTGAACTTCACAACTTAAAAAAAAAATCTGCGAGACTTCCTCAACTTTCGAAGTTGACAACATCAAAAACGAAACAATTCTGCGAGACTTCCTTCAAAAATGACAAAAAATAGAAAGTTGAATGCAGAGCTGACGGCCTCGTGCCAATGCGTTTTGCGATTTTTCCATTCCACCTGTCCAAAGTATTGCGCCCGCCACGAAAAAGTGATGCTAGGTCATACGAAGTGCTGCACCTGTCACGCAAAATCATCTCAGCAAAACTGAAGATCTGATGCTCCAAAATGCAACCCGTCTCAGGAAATCAGCGCCCGGACCTCCTAACATCTCTGATGAACATGTCTCTCGTATTGCGCTTGCCACGGGAAATCTATCTTTGCAGATCCTCTTCAAATGTCCCACGCCTGCCATCGTTTTTGAAAAACCTACAAAACCCTCACGTTTTTCTCACTCCTGACAAGGTGCATAATCCCTTGCGCCTGCCACGCGAAACCACATCTGAACGTCCAAAAATGCTCCGTACCCTCTCAGTTTTTTGCACTTTTGACTTGGAAACGTGCTTCCCGCCACAACGGCGTGCACTTTTTCGACATCTCAACTGCCAAAAGTGGTCCCAGCATTGTGTGTTTTGTGCATTTTCACTTGGAAATGTGCTTCGCACCACAACAGCGTGCACTTTTTCGACATCTCAACTTCCAAGTGGTCCGAACATCAGGTGTTTTTGTACATTTGGATCTGAAAATGAGCTTCACGCCACAATGGCGTGCACTTTTTCGACATCTCACTTCAAAAAGAGTTCCGAACCTGGTGTGTTTTTGTACATTTTGACTTGGAAATGTGCTTCGCGCCACAACGGCGTGCAATTTTTCATCTCTCATCTGGGCAGCTGGCTCCGCACCCGTCGCTTTAGCGAGCCTACTTTTGGACCCTCCGGAGCCACAAATCATTGGAAAAACAGAGTGTTTCGCGACTTTCCTACCTTTTCGCGCACCTGGATCTTCTTTCTTCGGAGACTTTCACTTTTTTGATCTTCTTTCTTCTTCTCTTCTCTTCTCTGACTCTTCCCATCTCTGCTTTTCATCTGTCCATATTGTCGGAAGTTTGACTTCAAAACTTCCTTCGACAACCATCTGCTTTCGCCAAGCACCAGTCGCAAACCATCCCTTTCCATGATGGTCTGCACCGGCACGTTTGGCCACACTGCCGCTGACGCCACGCACCTCATGCCGCTCGCCGCTTTTCATGGCATGAGGCATGTTTTGTGTGTGGCCACACAACACGCACACATACACACATACATACATACATACATACATACATACATACATACATACATACATACATACATACATACATACATACATACATACATGTCTTACATACATACAGACAGGCACATACAAGCAACTCTCTCACACGCAAGTCTTTCACACGTACCTTTCTCCATCTCATGTCTCTTTCCTGCCTTTCCCATTCCGTCTTCACCTGGCTTTTTTGTGACTTATTGGAAGAAGTTGACATGTGGCGTTCTCCAATCCTTTAATTGAGCCATTCCGCCCCTCTCCCGGAAGTGTGCGCCCTCCAAGATTTTTATTTTTTTCTTCACAGTCTTTCTTTCAAAAATGCAAATAGAGCTCTCCCGCATGATCGAAAGTGTCCATGAACCCTGGCCCAAAATAAACACAATAGAACAGAACAGTATATATACATATTTTATGTGTGGATGCTTTGATCCAATCGTTTTTCCCTCTGCAATATTTTTTTTGAGCGCTGCACAGCTTGGAGAGCCAAAGGTAAGCCCAGTCATGCTTGTCTTGCGCTTCTTTGTTAATTCTGTAGCACGCTGATGAGGCCGCATGCCCAGTGCCCCAGACTTCCACTTCCAAATTTATAGTAACAATTGTTTTCCAAAGCCAAGATTTGATCCCACTTTTTTTGCTACCAAATGCTGGTTGGATTTTAATAGACCCGTTCTCAAACCCATCAAAGGAAGTTTAGAAGTCGAAAAAAAATGTTACGAAAATTTGAGAATGTGGGCAACATTACATCACAACAACAATGCATCATCACAACAAAACATCACCACAACAATACATCATCACAAAAACATCACCACAACAATACATCATCACAAAAATGCATCACAAAAATACATCACCACAACAATACATCATCACAAAAAAACATCACCACAACAATACATCACCACAACAGCACATCACCACAACAATACATCACCACAAAAATGCATCACCACAAAAAAATCACCACAACAATACATCATCAGAGATGCGAAGAGATTAGAGATGTGCAGAGAGTAGTGACCAGAGTAGAGATGTGGAGAGACCGGAGAGAGTAGAGATGTGAGAAAGTCGGGATGTGAAGAAAGTAGAGATGTGGAGAGAGTTGCGATGTGAGAGAGTAGAGATGTGAGAGAGTAGGGACGTGGGGATAACAGAGATGTGGAGAAAGTAGAAATAGGGCGAGTAGGGATGTGAAGAGAGTAGAGATGTGAAGAGGGTAGAGATGTGGAGAGAGTAGAAATGCGAAGAGGGTAGAGATGAGAAGAGTAAAGCAACGACGGCAGATCGCAATGGAATTGCTGCGTCAAGGTGATGTTTGGAAGTTAGAAATCGCACGAAACCCTGAATTTTCTAGCGCAAAGTTGCTCCCGGCGTCGATGTGGGGAACTTCGTTTATGTGACGGGTGCGGCTTTCGTTCGTTTTGCGCTCGGAAGTGTGCAGATCAAGGGAGAGTGGCATCACCAGACAAGGAACTCGAGAGCAAGAAATGTCAAGGACAAAGAGGCCCAAGAAATCACGGAGTCAACGGCCGTGCCAGCCAGGGGGTCAGCCCTCGTTCCTGTAGGCTCTTCCTTGTCTTTTATAGCCTTCTCCCTCGCTCGAAACTTCCGTCACCCGGCTTGCCCGGGCTCTACTTGTATCTTGCTACAAAATGCCAATGCGCGATTGTCATGGCTCAACATGATGGACAGAATTATTCTGTCCATCATGTTGAGCCATGAAAATCACGGGGTAAGATTCACAGCTACGTCCTACAAAATGCTGAACACGACCCACTATGGTCACGTTAGT